AATTGAGGGGGTCGTGGGGGGAGGATTGACTGGCGCGGTTCTTTCCTTCATCTTCTTCGGATTCGGTAGTATGGTACGGGGCTTCTGTTCGGGGATGCCTGCTTGGATCCCGGTCTGTGCGCGCTCGGTCCGGCCGAGCTCACGGGCAGACTGGCGGCTTCCCGCAATCCATCTGCATGGTAGGGCGATTCGGAGGCAGCAGCAACACCCGAGGCAACTCCGGCTTGGCAGCAAGTTCTTACCCGATCAGGCCTGAATGAAGAGGTGGGTTGGCTGTCAAGCCTCTGAGGTCGATGTCAGGTCGGGGGAAGGGGAAGGGGGGTCGCTCGAGTGCTTATCCTTGTTGCGAAGGTACCGTTGCCCCAAATCCGGCGCCATCTAGGGCAGCATGGCAAGTTTGATAGTCAGTCTTCAGAGGTGCTGGCCTCAGTTTATCTAGGTGCCGTTCTCAACTACGTTGTGCACGAGGTGAGACCTCCATCGCCGGCTGCTGGATCTCGGTCATGTGCTTGGCCATGCTCTTCTCGCTCACCCGTGATCGCCGTGGGCGACGTCCGTGTGTAGCTGGCCGATGCATGCGTGGCCGCTGCCCGTGGTGCCCAGACGGGTGGCACCACCAGCTCAACTTCCAAGGATAAACCACCCGTCGTGGTGCGGCCGGAGCATGTGCGACAAGCGCTTGAAAGTGATGCCGAAATGATGACAGCTTTTGCAGCGTTGCACGCTGAGGATCAGACACTCCACAAGGATCCATTTGGTGGTGAAGCGTGAACCCCTCGATCAGGCAGGCAGGCGGCCCATGTGCCTCACTGGACAAGCGGCTTTGCAGGTCTGCTGAGTTACCTCGTGTTCAAGTTGGATGCCACGCCATGCTTTTCTCTGTTTCGTCTTCTTCACTTGCCAAGCCCGAGCCCCCGGATAATTTGAATTCACATGTCGATACCGTCTCGTGCCACGACAAACTCCTCCTCCTCTTCCCGTTGGTTGCTTCAATGTTGTTGGAACGTGACCTCACACACAAAGCCAAAAGAAAGAAAAACAACGGTCAACCGCTCAATTTGTGACTGGGCTGGACCGACCTGGCTCAAGGGATGACGAAAACGCGAGAGGCGTCTTCCCCAAGCCGCGGGCAGCCGGGTCAGCCTGTTGTGCCGGCCAATAAAACACCCGACAACAACAACAACTTAAGAACGGGGCTTGTCCTTCTTGTGCTTGTACAGGGCCAGCAGGGAGACGTTGGACACCTTGCAAACTTTGAATCGGACGCCGGGAATATCACCGACGGCGTGACCGGCACGACCGAAACCGGAGACGAGGACTTCGTCGTTCTCGTCGACGAAGTTGAGGCAACCGTCACGGGGCACGAAAGCCGTGATCTTCTTGCCGTTCTTGATCAGCTGCACACTGTAGATAGGTCGCAAGCGCCAGATATCCAGACAATAATGAGCGGTCACAGGCACTGCAATTCACAACACGGCGACACTGGCACGTCGTCGCCTTGATGGCATGCAAGAAAAAAAGGAAAACGAGTTTGCATTCAAAAGGTTGCTTACCGCACACACTTGCGAATGGCCGAGTTGGGCTGCTTGGCTTCGACACCGCTATAGAAGAGAAAAGCAGAAACAAAACGACGGCAAAAATGAGAACAGGTGACCAGTGCGTTGCTCGACACTCAATGCCCAAGAGATGTGGGAAAAAAACAAGCCGCCAATGACCATCGCCAATGACCATATAAAAGGAAAGACTGATGCGCAAGCAAGTTTTGTCAAAGGGGCAGGGACGTACAGCTTCTCAACAACAATGCCCTTGGCGTGGGACGCTCCACCGAAGGGATCGGCTTTGAAGCGTGTACCCAGATGGGCCTTCTTGTAGTTCAGATCGGACCATCGCTGGGTGCGGCGGTGCGAGCGCAGCTGGCGGGCGGTCCGGATACCACGAGGCTTACCCATCTGTGGCAGACATTACAAAAGCAAAGGAAAAACAAACAGAGTGAGAGAGGCGTCACGCAACTTGCGTCAGAGAACGCCAAAGCGCGAGTGCAGGGAGCGACCGAAGCATGGCATGAATGTAGCACCACGAGGCCAGGTCAAGGACGACGGCTGAGACCAAGTGGCTCTCTCAACCCCTTTCCTTCTCTTTCATCAAAGCACCTGCCCGCCTGGCCACAAGCTCTTTGGTTTCGTATCGCCAGAACAAGAGGCAGCGAAGAAGAGCCAACAGCGTCACCGACAGACAGGAACCCTTTATGTACATCGTACAATCTATCCCACCCTGCACGACGCACTGCCAAACGAGTGCACCATTCATTCCCCGGGTGGCCGGGGGCCGTTGTGGTCGGCGTCGTCGGTTGCGCACTAAGCACACATACCTTGTACCGTCGATGAAACAGAAAAGTGCGTGAGCCGACCTCACGCGTCAGCAACTTTGAAAAGATTTGTACTGAAAAATTACCGTACTTTCTATTCAACTTTCCACCCTGCCACCTCCCCACCAGTTTTCCTTCGTTTATCTGACAATTGTTTTTTTTGTCTGACAACGGGCGACACACACACACACACACACACACATGTGGCCAAGACTCGACGCCCAGGAGCTACGAGCGGATGTGGAGTCGGCATTTACATCGGATGTCAATTTCTTTCAGATACAGAGGAGTGTCGCGGCCAGTCAACCATATTCATCAGACTTTGGTGCTAAATCTCGAGGATCGCACGGGCCACCGCTTCAACTCGCCCAGCGAGGCACACTGCACAAAGTGATAAGGGTCCACCACGTCCACGTCAAAGGTGTCATTGGTTGGCAAAGCTCGGGGCTCAATGTAAAATCGCCGCAAAACTTCGTGTTCAGGGTGCTCCTCGAGGTGCGGGGTTGCTTCGACATTTTGAGAGGTCGCATGCGGGCTCTGACTGCCCCGTTTGGACCGCAAGGATGTGCGTTTGGACGCCTTTTCGGGTGAAGCCACCCCATCGGGTGCCGGGGACTCGCGGCTTGATAGGAGCCCTTCAGTGGATCGCGTCGTGGACGACTTTGGAGCATGGCCGGATGCCGTGGCACGGCTCGCAGCGCGAGCCTTGGATTTGTCCGACTCCGAGTGAGGTGGCGAATCCGCATGAGCCGTGTTGACGTCGCCCGTTCGCATCGAGTTCTCCGCCACCAGAACCTGTGTTGCCGGCCACATAGCAAGAGCAGCTGTGGTCAGTCATGCACCAGCAAACACACAAACACACAGACACACACCACGTACACCAAGCAAAACGGACGCAGGCACATTGGGTTTGCACACTTGGAAGGAACATTCACACGTACATCATCGGTGTTATGCTTTTGCAGAAGATGAAAGGCAAGGCTCACGGCATCCTGGCCCACGTAGCGACAGAGTCGATACGGACAATGGATCTGGCTTGGAGTCGTGCTCACCAAAGGCGGGCGATGCCCGTTGGCGAGCGTCGTAACTAATCCACGCACATTGTGCACAACATGCGTGCACGGTGGGTTGAGGCTGACCAACGTGCTGCACACTGGTGCATTCGACCCATCTGACGGTGGCTTGACACCCACTCGATCATCTAAAAGCGCAGCACCAAGGTCAGGGCAGAGTTGTAGACCTCATCGCCTGCCTTTTCCCCCGAGGCAGCGTTCATGGTGCTGCTTACCAGCTGCGGCCTCGAGAGTCTCGTCCTTAACCTTAACCTCGTCGTTGTCGTTACTTGGAGCCGAAGCTGCACCTTCGAAGCGAACCGAGTCGGCAAAAGCCCCCTCCGCTAAGCAGAGCCCGGCATAGCGCTGCAATCAAACCATGCACCAATCCATGCCGAGCATGGCACCGTGTGAGAGAAAAGCATGCATGTCGTCAACAAGTCCCGCCAGGCAACGAAAAACATCTTGTCTGCCGGGTAGACGCCACATCGCCACCAACCTTGCCCTCGAAATTAATGGCCACTCCAAAGCACTGTCGTGGGAACACCCAGCCCAAGAACTGCGGCTGCATGCCGGCCGGCAGCGCCTCCGTGCCAGCCTCGGAGTCTGAGGCATCTGCCTCGTTTCCTTTGGACAACCATTGCTGGGTCAGTTGCTTCTGCTGACGCGCCAGCTCCTGGCTCGCAGCTGGGGCGCGTTTATCGGGTCTGGTGCCTTGCAATTCCACATAAGGGTGATGCGAGATGTAGTCGGTCAAGGACTTTTGAGTCACGGACTTGAGGCAGCGCGCGGAACCTTGCATCTCATATTGGCACACATAGATATCGGCGTCCGCAAAGAGAGGGTTGGTGCCTTGCAGCCAGGCTGATAGACCCATGACCGTGCAATGCCCCTTGACAGCTTTAACCGGAATGGTGCGAAACTCATCCGTAAGGTACAGCTCGTTCTCAAAATACTCAAGCTGCCCGGCTTTGCGCAGATGCTGCGGTCGCATGAAGCGCACCACTTTCAACTGCAGGCTGTGGTCGATCGCATTGTGTGAGATGCCTATCACCTGCACAACTTGCAAGTCGTTGTCGGGCGAGTTGCGTTGGCCCGTATGTCGAAAGACTCCCGGGCGCACATAAACATAATCTCCCAGCCCGATACGTTTGGCCGTGCCCGAGTGAATGACACGATACTGCACATAGTCTCGCGTGTCTTGAATAATGTCCTGCGCCATAAGGCATGCCCCCACACACACAGACACACAGACACACAGACACACAGACACACAGACACACAGACACAGACACAGACACAGACACAGACAGAGAGAGAGAGAGAGAGAGACACACACAGAGACACAGAGACACAGAGACACAGACACAGAGAGAGAGAGAGAGAGAGAGAGAGAGAGAGAGAGAGAGAGAGAGAGAGAGAGAGAGAGAGAGAGAGAGAGAGAGAGAGAGAGAGAGAGAGAGAGAGAGAGAGAGAGAGAGAGAGAGAGAGAGAGAGAGAGAGAGAGAGAGAGAGAGAGAGAGACAGACAGAGACACAGACAGAGACACAGACAGAGACACAGACAGAGACACACACACATACATGCACGAGCGTGAGCAAAGTGCCTTCAAATGCAATGTCGTTCACGGGGCGGTTGAGGGGTCAAAAGCCAGTTCATACTCGTTTCAGCAAGCGCGGTTTGCAGAGCTCGCATTGATAGTTGGCTTGTGCACTACTAATCAGCTCCATGCATCCACAGTGTTGCCACATGGAGCAGCTGGCACAGCGAATCATCTCGCCCTCTTCAAGATTGATCTGGCAGCGACAGCGGATAATCTCCACTTCTTCTGTGCCGTAACGGCTCACCATCTCAAAGAAAGTGTCGCGGTCCATGCTGGCGGTTACTACATGCTCAACGGTCGTCCGCGTCATAATGGCAAATTGATAGCAGTGGTTGCGCAGTGCTGGAGCCTCCGCTTCAATCCCTGAGATAAGGACAGACCCCATCTCGGCCGAGCCCCGCTAAGTAGCGAGCAGCGATGCATCAGTTTTGTGCTAAACAATCTGCAGGCCAAAACGGGAGGGCAGAGACACAGCTCCACAGACCTTGGCCCGTTTAGAGGCATGTTGGTTTGGCTCGATCATATCCGGTTTGGGGTGGTGCCAGGTGGCCATGGATGTGGTCTGCGGTGCTTGCAATGCCATAGCGGCGGGATTGTATGACAAGTCCGACATTCCCCAGCCCATTTGCTATCGCAGCGCAGATCAAGCCAAGAGTGAGCTCAAGGTGCAAGCGCTCAGCAGGCTAGAACGTAAGCCAAAAAGGGGCTGGTGCTACCTGAGGCATGTAGGGGACCATGAGCTGGGACATGCTCATGGCTGCAGCCGCCGCAGCTGCTGCATCCACTGGCTTGGTCGCTTGCATGGGCAAGCGCCCACCCGACCACCAGTGCGCCATTGATTGAGCTTGCGACGGCATGCTTGTCATGGCCATTTGAGATAGCATCTGGCCCGGCATCGACGAGTTAGATGTGATATTTGCCGGCGTGGGCTTGTGAGCTAGTGGGTTACCCGCGGCATGCATGGGTTGCCGCTGAGCGGGCAGAAGGTCTCGTGGCACTATTGGAATTGAGGAGTTGCGGATTCAGTTTCACGTTCAGTCTTGCACCACAAGAACCACCGACATATGGGCCTCGTATCTCCAAAGACGTACCATTGTCTTGCTGACTTGTTCGGCCACTGGTATCTGAAGCACGGCTGCGACTCGGGGCACCACGGCGCCGAGCGCGTGCCCGTCGGTGACTCGTGTCATCGGCGTGGGGTTGTGTTGGCAGGTACGTGATGTCGTAGGCGTTACAAAATTGTTCTGAACGTGTTGGAGCCAGAGGAGGCAAACGGGTGAGGAGGCACATCGTCGCAGCAAAGATATAAGGCGTCGGGCCATCATACACGAACCAAAGGCGCTCTCCCCAGCACTCGACTCGAACATCTACGCACGGCAATGTGGGTGGCCAGTGCGCGACCGACACACGTTGGGGAGGAGTCGGGAGTCAGCAAGTTCGAATCAACAGGTCCCAATCAGGAACTAGAACGCGGAATTCAGAAGCTCCGATTCAAGAGGGGGCCCACAGACCAGGAGGCCAACTGACCTGTCGTTCTTTGTCATCAATGGCATGGTACCAATTGCGCTCGATGGCTTGTAGCGTATCGACATCGGCCTTGAGCCAGTTCATCTTTACACCCTACGTTCAAGTTTGGCACACAAGTCAGTTTGTTGCGCTTCAGGATGATGAACCCAAGACATCGGGTCAAACTCTTCTCCGACGAACCTCAGTAAGCCGACTATGGGACTCGGCATTGATCAGATCCACGGTTTTCGAGACGAACATGGCAAAGCCTTTGGATACGGGCTGACAAGGCATCCAGGTGGCTGTGGTATTTTCCCGGGTTTCAGACCAGGCAGCGTCAACGCGAGATACACGAGGGACGAGTGAGGGCGAGTGCAGCACTCGGGAACAAGGGCTTGAGATAAGCTGGCATGTCAGCAAGTGGAGGACAGGGCGGGCGGGGGGTTGAGCACATACTCGTTGGTGGCGAGGGCTTGGCTGCTTTGTTGTTTGCTGCTTCTGCTGCTGCTGCAAGCGACGCGATTATCGCGCGAAAGGGCGAGGACAGCAAAGGGGCAGGCAGACAAGTGGAAAGACGCATAGTAAGTTCGTTTCTAGGGCTTGCTCGGGAACATTCGGAGGAATCATTGCTGCTTACCGCTCGCATTGTTGGCATCGGACGCCTGGGGTTGGTGCTGCACTTCGGCGCGGGTTTCAGCAGGCCGCTTTTGATGGGCAGGACTACGGTGCTCGCTGCCATGGCGCGCCCCATCGTTGTGGGCATGCGTGGAAGTGGGCTGGCTTGTGGCAGACCTATCGTGGAGCTGCGCACAAGCGGTTAGCCAGCTGCTCAGCAAGCCAACGCGCTTTCACGGCGGTCAGATTGCTGCCAACACGAACCTTTTGGGGGAGGGCATGTTCAGCTCGCGCGGTGGCATCGGGGTCAGAAGCATGACGAGGGTCACCGATGGATTTGTCATTTTGGGAGTCGTCCCCATGGCCTGATTCTCGTGCTGCGAGAGGTGCTGTGTCTGTCAAAAGGCAAAGGTCCCAAGCGAACATGGCACGGACCATGAGATGGGCGTGCGGTGATTGACCTTCCTTGCAGAGCCGATCGTCGAGGCGCGAAAATCGAGGGTGTCGAGCAATTGAACATGATAAACAGCGCCTACCTGTTGCGTTGATTGTCATGACCCTGTTACGAGTTGGATGCTGAGCGGAGCGCCGTCGTGGACAAATTGCACCAGAGCGGATGGCTCAACGGGCCAGCCGACTTGAGGATGCAGCTCGGCTGGATGCTGTCATTGCATGGCAGCGCCTGATGCCCCAGCGATCGCCCGAGTCTCACCACCACCCCAATCTTTTGCCCTCGCTGACCGGCAAAGGTCGGGGCCACTCCCAGTTCAGCACCAGCAAATGCAATGACCCGACGAGCAGGCCAGCAACCGATACACTGCCGTCCTGTCGAACCCGACTTGCTGATCGTTACAAAGATGACAGAGAGAGAGAGAGAGAGCTTGAGAGAGAGAGAGCTTGAGAGAGAGAGAGAGAGCTTGAGAGAGCTTGAGAGAGCTTGAGCTTGAGAGCTTGAGCTTGAGAGAGCTTGAGCTTGAGAGAGCTTGAGCTTGAGAGAGCTTGAGCTTGAGAGAGAGAGCTTGAGAGAGAGAGCTTGAGAGAGAGAGCTTGAGAGAGAGAGCTTGAGAGAGAGAGAGAGAGCTTGAGAGAGAGAGAGAGAGCTTGAGAGAGAGAGAGAGAGCTTGAGAGAGAGAGAGAGAGAGAGAGAGAGAGAGAGAGAGAGAAGGGAGAGCTTGAGAGAGACTTGAGAGTTTGAGAAAAGGGAACAACAGTGTTTTACAACAACTTCACATGTCAGCCTTTTACAGCAACACACGAATACAACAGTAGTAGTGAACAAAGCGCCGTCGTTGTCGTAGTGGCGCTTCTTGTCGTATTTGGCGGTGAGGTGTTGTGAGGCTCTCATCACGTTACTGTCCAGCGGGCTGGGTGGGGGTGACGCGGCATGCTGTGACGTGTGGCGTGCGGATCGGTTTGTGGTGTTTGCCGTTCGGCTTTGAAAGAAGCGACCAGGTGTGGGGATTGGTCTGGCAAAGACACTCGAGGTCTTGGGGACCCCGAGCAAGCAAGTATCTTGCCAATTCTCGAACCAAAACGACGCGTGAGTCCGGGCTTGGCAAGTTGACCTGGCAAGCACACGGAGGACGGCTGGCTGTGGTCCCTAGTCCCATCGTGCACCATGGCAGATTCCAACAAGGTGTGGCAAGTGCCGCCCACCGCCTTGTTATCGCGCAGCAGGGGCTCTGCGCTCATGCTTGATCTTGGCGTCCTTAGATTGCCGACGCTGAGATGCTGGACATCGAAGGCCAATTTGAAACCAAAATCAGTCCCAACGGCCGCTGGAAGCGCTTGCAGCAATTGGTATCAACCTTCTTGCCCCCGTCCGCCCCCTCCCCCCTCCGCCCCACACACCCTTGGTGTCGCGTCTTTTGCGTCGGTACCTCGCCTTTGGCTTACTCCCCGTGATCATGGTGCTGATTAGACCAAGCCGAAGAATCTGAATGGCGAGCGCCGCTTCGCTTGTGTCGATCAGGGTGCGGCTTAGGCTGAGGCATCTCTTCATGCATGGGTGCAGCACAGTCACAGATGTCACAAACTTCTCCGTCTCATTTCTTCCGGTGGGCTACACCCCGTAGACACGGGCGTCAGTGTGTGGTGGAACGAATTGCCCTTGTCCGACGTCATCACCGCCGAAACACGCCAAGTATGTCCTGCTGCCGCCCATCGTGGGAAATGCAGCCCGCCTTGACTCAATCATCATCCTGGCGGATTCGCGTATGTAGAAATGGCATCGTCGACTCCAGATTGCTGAGCTGATCAAGGTTAGACACCCGCTCCCATTTCTTCCCTGGCGTGCGCGCATCTCATCCTTTGGCTGACGCTCACAAGACGCCGGTTGGCCTACCTTAAACAGCACCCAAACTACGTTCACATTTTTGGAAGCTGGATTGACGATTCCAACACCATTATTTACATCAGCGAAGTCCTGACGGCCGGCACCCTCAAATCCTATCTTAAGAAAGACAAAAAGGACAAAGACGGCCAACGGTATTTGCACTGACCATCACGCTGTCATCTGATACCTTGACCCTTCTTTCGCTCTTGCTTGCATTCACTCACCCCTCTTGCCTCCCCTCTCTTGTTCTTCTCCTCCTTTTCCCATGTCTGTGCCCGCTTGGCAATCCAATCTACCCTTCGCTTCACACTCAGCGATAAAGCCGCTGATCGTCGCCCAGCCATTCGGATCAAGATCGTGGCCCGCTGGTGTCGCCAGTTGATCTCCGTCCTCAAGTTTGTTTCGTTCACCCCGCCCTTGCTCGGAGCAGGCGACCCGCTCGTTTGTTTATGGCTGACTTCTGTCTGCTTTGCTGCCTCCTCTTTTGCTGCCTTGCCATCACCTCTCGCTTTGTAGCGAGTTGCATTTGAATGACATGCCCCATGGCAGCTTGCGACCGGATGTGATTCACGTTCAGCACAATGGCCAGATCAAGCTCAAATACATCACTTCCATCTCCTCAAAGTCGAGCAAGAAGAGTGGTGCAACCAGCTCCAAAATGTCCGAGCTCATGTACCAGAGCCCCGAGTTGGTGACTGATTGGCAATCGGACCTGCGCATCTCAGACGATATTTACGCCCTTGGCATCCTGATTCTCGAGGTGCGCTTGCCTAGCTAGCTGTTGTTTATTGCCACATTGCAACTTGGCAAAGACGGGTTGTGACAGTTATCCGTCCTTGTGCCACCCTGATCTGCCCCCTTCTGGCATGTGGCAGATGCTGGTCCCTGGACGCGTGTACGCGGATTGCGAGAAACCCCTGGACATCATTCGTGCCAAGCAAAACCTGGTCCTCCCCACCACCGCGCTCGAGGATCTGCTTACGCTGCATGAGAAAGACAACCCCACCTGCAAACAGACCATGGTCAAGGCCAAGGTCAGTCACGGCCCTCCTTTCGGTGCCCAGCCACCGTCTCGCCCTGATTCGACGCATTCATTTTGATGAGCTTCTTTCTGTTGCAGGCCTTTGTCGAGTGCTGTCTCGCCAAGGCAGACCAGCGCTGGTCTGCCAGCAAGCTGAGCGTCCACAAATGGCTATTCGAGGCAAGTGCATGGCGCATTTGGTGGCGCACATTGTTATGCTCGGTGTCGAGTCCTTGTCATAGTTTGCTTCAAAGCAGTCATGTACATCCTGTGCAATCCTGGTGCGTAGGTGCCGTCGCTACGAGCTTTTGCTGCACACGCCTTGCTCGCACGCTACCGTAACTCAACCCAAGATGAGGTGGTTGACAACAAGGAAGAACTTTCCACGCGCTTTCAAGACTGGTACAACCGGGTGCACACGGGCGAGGCCCCCATTGTTGTGCGCACGCGAGGTGTACCCAATTCTGAGCTTGAGCCAGAGCTCCGCGAGCCACCAAATGTTGAAGCGTTTCTGGAGGAGGTGCGCATCGGGCTACACCCACTGACTGTTGTGCAGGGTCGTGGGCCAAAGAAAGTGACAAAGCCGTCCAATGCCAACCCCAAATCGCGGTCCAAATGCCGCCGTCGTTTGATTAAGAATACCTTTGCTGTCCGCGTCGAGCGCAAGCTCAAGGACAACATCGAATTCAACAGCCCCGAGGATGTGGCCCGAGCGCTATTGTACCTACAGTTCAACGCAACGGACGATCGTCCACCCGAGAACTTTGTCCACTCCTTCGTGCTCATTTATTGCCTGGGCCCTGAAGTCAAAGAAGCATCGGAGCACGCCAGCGGCTCCATCACGCCAGCAGTTGGTGAAAAGCAATTTGTATATGGCGCAGGTGCTGGGGCGAATGGAGCAGCCAGCCACAACACAACCACGGTGGCCGAAAGTCGTCGTAACACTGTCTCACGAGCATCAGCTGCTCATGCGGCAGCACAATCAGTGGCCTCGCACCACGCCACCACGGCGGCATCTCCGAGCCGGCCGGAGGCCCCCATCGCTGCTACCCACAACGGCGAGCCCACCGTCCCGCCGGCCAGCGGCAAGGCTGGTGCGGCGGATGCGGATAACAGGCGCCGAGTAGGCAGTATGGCTGGTGAGGATCGCTCATCCGTCTCCGGGCCTCCGGGTCAAGGTGTTGAAAGGGGCCGGGAGGACACATTTGACTCGCGCTGCGTTTGGCGCAAGTTGCTCTTTGACTATGCAGGTACGTTTGTCTCTTGCTGCTTGCGCGAGGCCAGTCATGTATGAACTTTGGGGGCCCCTCGGCGAACATTATTTTTTTTCGTAGCCCTTACTTGCCGCGAACCGGGTCTGCCTCTGTGGTGCGTCCTGACGTTGGAACAGACAATGTGCAGGTCGACTACGATGAATTAATGGCCAGCAAATCGCAAAAGGAGCACAAGAGTGGTTTCCGCCCCAAGGCAAGCATCGCGGAGATGATGGGCATGGTGATCGTGGAGCGGATGACCAAGCACGGCTTGTTGGCGGATGAGGAGGAGGATCGTTACATGCTGGCCGAGGCCATTGCAACTGAAGTACGCGCCAAGTTTTACCCGGGTCCTCAGCCCGAGGAGAAGTCGAGTGCAAAAGCGAGTTCTGAACGCCACGTGCCCCGAGGGCGCAGCGGTAAGCACGACGAATTCAGCTCGTTTGCGGCTCATGACGATGAGAAAGGCGATGCCGAAGGCGTTGCGGTGGGGGCTGGCCGTGATGACATGGTGTCGGGCCCTGCTGCAATGGGCTATGATGTGATCTGAACATCTCAATAGCGACACGGGTCGCACCAAATTCTTTGCCGGTGCGTTTCGATGGTTTTCTTGTGTTGTGCCACTGCTACTCGAGTCAATTCATTCATTAAAAAAAAAAGATTAAACAAGCACAAAAACCACTTTTGTGCACTCGGTTTGAATGGGCCCCAACGTAGAGATGGCTTTGATATATATACGTCATGTCATAAATTGGCAGTCAAAGTCATGACAAAACAGACGGCACAACAACCCAGAGAGGGAAGAACAGATAGAGACCAGGCAGGCTGCGCAGCAGGGCTGGAAACAGGATTCAGTACAAATCCAGACGAAAACACACGTGCGCGCACCCCCCTAAGAGGGGGTAAATTAGGATGAGAGGCACGCATCGTCAAGACATGCACAGGTTATTCGTCCTCGTCATCTGGTGCGTGTCTTCGACGTTGGTGACGATTGTTTAGGGCAGTCGCAGCTTTGTGCCTGGGATGGTTGGTGCGCTGGATGTGTTCAGTATTGTCGTCTTCAGAGTCTGAGGCTGGGCGGCGGGTTGGGGCAGGTGCTGCAGGATCGCGGGCTGCGGCAGCCGGGGTGTTTACGTTGGCGAGCTTGAGCTGTTCGTATTGTTCTTGGGTCAAAAAGGTGGGCTTTAGGGTGAGTTCGGTGGTGCAGGAGGGGGAATAGCCTTGCGCCACGTAGCGATCAAAAAAATTGGGCAAAAGATCGCGATAGTGAGGGTTGATGCGGAAGAGGCGCTCTGCCATGCACTCCATGTCGCTCGGATCGAGCAGCAAGTCATTCTCAAAGGCGACCTCTAGGTATTCAAAGAGTGTGTCATGGATCGGGTCGCGATCAAGAACCATGGTGCGAAATATGGTCTCCGTCTCTGTAATCCAGTCGGTCTCAAGCTCTGCTTCGAGGTAGGTGCGTTCCTGTCGCAGCAGTGTTGTCGCAAGCAAGCCGTCCGTGAGTCGACGGCCCCGAATCTGAGGCCGCAGGTGCATGTGTGCAAGACTGGAGATATAGGATCAACAAGTTGATCCCTTTCCCTCGAACAATGTAATACAACCACAGCAACAACAACAACAGCAACTAAGAAAAAAAAAAAAAAAAGGCTCTTGGGGTGGCGTTGATGGGGGTGTGGCTCCAGGTCAGCGGAACTGGGGCGAGCAATGGCCAGCATGGCTATGGAGGTTGTGGGTTCTTGCGTACCATGTAGGCCACCAGGGGTCGGATCAGAATTGCACCCTGAGCAAACTGGCGAAGTCGAAAGCGGAACCGGCGAAGGAAGGTTTGGCAATCAGAGGAACACTGGGCTGCCAACTCCTCATAAACCATCTTGGAAAACAAATCGGGGAGGGCGCAAAGCAGAGTGAGTGCCAAAATCGCGCTCGGGTCATGTCATAGAAACAGCGGCCCGGGCAGCAACGGCACACGCGAGGTGGGGGGGTGTCATCGATAGGCAGTGAGCGAGTAAACGTGTTCAAGACCTGGCAGTGCTCGCGTAGGAGCTGCGAGACGTTGTCATGGAGCAGGCCGGCATGGCCACAGGTCACGCATCGGTACACACCGCTGTCGATTGGGCAAAGAGCGTGAGCACCCCGATGGACCACATTTGCAGCAACAGGGTGCACTTGAGCCACCCACCCGTAAATGTCTGCCTGGCGGAGCGGGACGATGTAGGGCTGGCCAATGTTCAGCGTCAGGGCATGGGCAAAGATGGTGCTCAAATGCGGCCAGCAAAAGGAGCGAAAGCATTGCTCATCGATAAAGTCTATTGGCGACCAATGAGCAGGGGCGATGGGCAACACGCAGAGGCCACTGGGTGCACGCCACCGCAGCGGGAAACGGCAAGCGAGTCCAGTCAGTCGAACCTGGGAGGATGAAGCCATCGCACTCAAGGACCTCGCTGGAAGCAGACTCCTCTGAGCCCTATGACCAACAAGACCACAGGCCTTGTCAATCAAGCCGCCAGCACCCAATCATCGACTCGGGCAACCCAGCACAACTCACCAAAACCTCCATATTCCTCCGACAAACGCGATTGCCACCGTAGACCCCTTCTCCTATCGAGCGACACGCCGCAATCCCCGGGTCGCTGCCAAACCGCCAACAATAACAATGAATGGAGAGAGAGAGAATGAGAGAGAATGAGAGAGAATGAGAGAGAATGAGAGAGAGAGAGAGAGAGAGAGAGAGAGAGAGAGAGAGAGAGAGAGAGAGAGAGAGAGAGAGAGAGAGAGAGAGAGAGAGAGAGAGAGTTTGAGAGAGAGAGAGTTTGAGAGAGTTTGAGAGAGAGAGAGTTTGAGAGAGAGAGAGAGAGAGAGTTTGAGAGAGAGAGAGAGAGTTTGAGAGAGAGAGAGAAGCTTTCCAGTCTTCATACAGACCAGAAGACCAAAAGACTCGAGCTGGACAAAAAGAGAGAGAGAGAGAGAGAGAAAAAAAAAACGAGAGAGAGGCAGTTTGATCAAGTTGTTGACAAGTTGGGACGCTGGTGCTGGTGCTGGTGCTGCTGCTGCTGCTGGTGGTGGTGGTGGTGTTGGACAGACAACGGCGACGGGTACGGGTACGGACACACGGCTGGTGGAACTGGTGGTGTGGGTACTCTTGGTGGTATCGGTGCAAGTGCAGGAGGAGGGGTTTTGTGGCTGACAAGGCGTCTTCCTTTCTTGATTCATCGGCTGGCGGGTGGGCGGACGTTTAAAACGGTGAGGACGCCCAACCCCTGCTCCGCCGCTCAACATGCTGCGCTCCTAGCCCTGGCTAGCTGGTTTGCTCTTCCACCATCGCACGTCGGGTTTGGGACTTTTCCTTTTTTTCGCTTTTTGTTTGTCCTCCTTGACGTTTCGATCGCGCTACACCTCTGTACTCACTCCAGTGCAGAGTCCAGCCTCCGTTGGCCAAAGTTCAGCGCCATGGCCCGTCAATCCAGCCCTGAGGATCTCGCCAGTCGCTTGGTAAGCCGGCAACAGCAAAGAAGCCAACCGCCGTCCTGACGAATCAGAAAGCGCCATGCAGCCGCAGTCGTCATCTTGACCGCACCCGCTCAACTCTTGCCTCCCCCACCCTACCGTGACAGGGCGTGCTCATCCAAGAGGTGAATAAGGGACAGCCGTGCCTTTCCTGTGGTGAGTCTCAAACGCAATCAGCATTTCGTCAGTGCGACTTCCTACCAAGCTCTTTGCCCGCGGCCTCCTCTCATTCCCATCCCCCCTTTTTGCTGCCCACACGCACCTTGGCCATCATCCCCGCTTCCACCGGTGCAGACAGTTGCCCTGGTTTTGAGCTCCACGTGTGGAAGAAGCGGTACGCTGACGGCCTGGTCATGCACTCTTCTTTTGCCAGCCTTTCCCTGCCCTTATGCAACATTGTCACCCCTCACCCCACATCCTTTCTACCCTCATGCGTGTGCCTATCACACAACGACACAAACAAACCATGGCTGTACCTCCATCTTCATTCTCCCCAATCACCCCCAGTTGCAAGTTCTGCAATTGCTCCCTGGATGAACATAAACTGGCCCCCTTGCCAGCCAAGCCCGAAGTTGGGCTTTTGGAATTTGTTGAAGAGGTCTGCTTGGCATCCCGGTCTTCAAGCCGTTGTGCCGTGCCTCCAGATCCACCGGCGCTCGCTCTCACGGCGCTCGCGCTCACGGCTCCTGCTCTGTCACCTCATCTGCAACAGGTCCCGGAAGGGTTTGATCCCACCGGCTTTGGCTATAGCTACGAGGATGTTGAAATCAACCGACCTGCTACCCCTCCACGTCACCACTCTGCCGCGCTGGCCGCCCCAAATCTCGATGATGAATACGAGGGTACGTGTCACCTTGAAACGCCTGGCCTCGTTCTTCACGTCGTGGTCACAGAAGCACGCGCCGGGTGTTGTAGACTTAAGATCGGTCCAAGATCAGGCGCAACAGCTTTCGCTTCAAGACGAGCTACCTGACGGCGGTGCCGCGCCTGCTCGCCCACCAAAGAAGGTACGCCTGCTCTTCTCTTTTTCATCATCGCCCCGCTCGCTCTCGCCAATCCACAAGCATGTTTGGTTGGGCAACCATCACCTCCATGACAACATTCAAGTGGAGGGGCACGGGCAAGGGCAATTTGCCCCGTCATCTTTGGGCCTCTGCTCATCCATCTCATAATTCTTCGCTGACCGCTTGGCTCCTACCCCTAGATGCCTGCTGTGATCCCTGTTTTGATTGATCTGCCCCGCTATGCCAATTTGAAAGATACAAGTTCAATCTTGAAAAACGGCTTGGGCGCCCAAGCCCCTCCCGCCTTAGATGAGGAGGCCAATCCAGAGACCGGCCAGGCTCCAGCGCCGCCCCGGCCCCCCAAGACGGCCTCGACCCCGACCGTTTCAAATCAAACTGCGACACCAGCCAGCGCCGGCGCTTCCCCCGCGCGAGGCCCAGGCCGGCCCCAACTAGCACCGCCCTCCAGTTCTGCCGGAGGCAGTGAGCCGCCGCGCCAATCGTATGACTGGAATGCCATCACGGATGGGCCCAGCACTGCCAGCAAGAGCGCCACCCTGACCCCAATCGTCAAGACTCGCAACGCAACCCGCATCATCCATGTAGATAAAATGGCTAACAAGCCACCCGTCAACAAATCAGCCACGTTGCAGCCTTCCTTTAGCACTGGTTTTGCCCAACCTGCTATGCCCCGCTCCAATGCTGCCATGACCTTGCCCCCAAATGCTAGCCTGCAGGCGGTTGACGATGATATTTATGGCGATTATGACCGTGCGTTGACGCTCTTCGTTGAACCTTTCCAGCGCATGGGTCTCCCCGCACCGCCGCTTGGTGTCCTGTAGACCAGGCCGTTCCGTACTGACCTATTCTGGCTCTTTTTTTTTTTTTTTTTTTTTTTTTTTTGGTTCTGTGTGCCCTTGTGCCCTTGTTAATGCTTGGCTGGTTGTAGCGGCCGCGGTGGATTGGGCGTACTGGCAATGCGTTCACACAGCAGATCGCCAGACATCAGAGAGCATTCTGACCGACTATGCCTACGCCACTGGTGATAACCACGGTTCGACCTTCCAGTCCTGTGGCTCCACTTGCTCCGCTGTCCTAGCTAGCAGCCACCGAGAGGAACCTTCTACTGCCTGCCGACTCTCAGGTCCACACTTGCTGATAGGTCTATATCTTATGCGACACTCGGGCAAGGTCCCCGGCGCCATTGTCATTTCGATGCACAGTGATGGCAAGAACTATCACTATCAATTCTTACCCACCCACAACGGTTGGTTCTTTCCGCTACGTCTGCGGCAGCTCTTCCTGTCCCTTATCAAGGATATTGCGTGCATCCTCCGGCTCGTGTGTAGGGACGTTCCTGGATGATAAGATGCGCGATCGCGGAACGATTTCACAGCTTGTTGCTTACTATGAGGTGCGAATTGTCCCCTCGCTTTGTGCCGCTATCTGCCCAAGAGCTCACAGTTCCAATGGCGGTGCGAACGCCAGGCCCATCGTGAGGGATTGGCAGCCCGTCTGCGTACTTGCCTCGGCCCTCTGTAGGTACAGGATTCGCACAATAAAAACCAAAAACAAAAACAAGCCACACACACACACACACACACACACCCAAACAAAAAAGGAAAAGCATCCTTCTTTTTGCCGTTCATCTCTTTTCGTTTCTGTGAGAGGCCGCGAAATTTGGAATGTCGGAGTTCACGATCATCATTTCAATTGACAATCTTCCAAGTGAGTTCAATGTCAAACTCGTCCATGTACGCACGATTGATGGCCAGCATCATCTCGGTTGCCGCATGCATGGAGACAAAGGAGCACCAGGTTGCCATGAGCCCGTCTTCGTCTTTTGAGGGAAGTTCTGGCTGCTGATCCAGCTCCTCCAACTCGTCTGGGTCCCACTCCAAGCCAAAGAAGCGGGGTGAAGCGGGTGACCACAGCAAGCCCGCCAAGCACTCCACCGGCATGGTCCACAGTTCCTGTACTCTTGGCTAATAAGATGATACCGGTAAAGGGTGGTTTGGTAGTGAGGAAGACGGGCGATAGATGTGACAGGGCAAAAACACATGCCAGAGAATGCGCAGTCCGTGGCGTGTGCCCACCACGAACCTTGTGAACATCGCTTGACGCTATTTGCATCGTAAATGTCAACTGTGCAGTGCAAATGTCGGGTGAGCAGATTGTCCACGAGCATTTTGCATGCAAAACAGTCCACTCTAACCTGGCCCTCGAACAATACCAGCCCAAAGGCAGCACGTTGGGCAGCATCTACGGCCCCGCCTCGAAATGCGCCGACAGGAGCAGCATCCAAACGACTGGTCACAAACACCTGTGACGCCTGGACCTGCACCAGCACAGAGCCAATGTGTGCATGTTTGAGTTGCGCAACGACTGGGCTACGTGCTTGAAAACCAGACTTGGGCTGACCACCAAGTGCCGCCCTTGGCTGGGGCACGAACCTCGGCAACAAGTTGGGGAATGTCTTCAACGGCTAGTTCTCCGATACGTCGTGGTCGGAAAGTGGATTGCTCCTCGTCATCAGAGCCCACAACAGTAGCATAGGCCGACCATTCGTCCTCATCGTGCGGGAGCAGCCGCTTATTGCTCACACCCGCCACGTCTCGCAATTGCCTGCGCACGGTACGCGACGGGTCAGTGCACCACGCGGACGACGAAGCATGCCAAATACAAACTGGCAGGAATCTACGCACACCAAGAACGAAAACATTTCAGCAGTCGAATAGGCATGGATCAAAACTGGGCCGTCTACACTTGAAAACTCAAAGGCCGCTTGCGGCAGCCCCAGCACAAAGCTGCCCAGCGTGCTCCAGGCCGTTTTCCGCTTGCACTTGAGCTACACACGCAAAGGAAACCAACGGACGATGCACACGCAATGAGAGCTGTTTGAACTCAAGGCTCGATCGTGGGTCGCTGCTACCACATCAATCAGATCACGCACAGGCGCGTCATCTGTGGCTTGGGCAAAGACGTAAAGGTGCAGGTTGGAGGCCACGAGAATGGCTCGCTCCAGCAGCGGTTGGCCATGGCCCACTGCAAAAGGGTGTGTGTGTGTGTGTGGCACATTCATGATTGCAGTCAAATCAAACTGTGAGCCAGGCACAAAGCCAAAGCAGCACACATGCTTGCTTCCATGGAAGGCACAAGGCGTGCATGGAGGACTGATGGAAGCATACCTGCCAAACGTCCATAGAGCCAGGCCATTGTGGTCTCCTCGGTGGTTGTGAAGTGCTCCAGGGGCAACATGACTTCGAGTCCCTGGTCAAGCTTGGTTGGCGTGTGCTCCGCTTCAAATGTACCATGCTCACGTATGCGTTGCAACCCAGTTTCCAAGCTCAAAGCCGCACTGGCGATCGAGATGGAGCCGGACATGATTGAGGCATCGAGCTGCCCGCCGCTCGTGTCGAGATGTTGCTTGCGCTCGACGTTGGGTGAGGCACGACTACTAAGCAAAGCTGGAACAGCTGTTGCACAATATTTTGGACAAGTTGGCATCGATAAAATTGCACAAGCACGACATGAGGCGAAGATTGTGGATGGCCAGGGCAAAAAGCTTCATATGCTCACCGGAGCCCGGTTCAGCGGCCGAAGCCAGGGATGCGCCACTCTTGGCCGAGACAGAGCTGTCCACTCTTCGATTGCGCTCATCGTCCGTTGTGGCGCCACTACTGGGGCCCACATCTTCCTCATCACGCAGCGACTCCTCATGACCTGTTCACATGAAAGTGTTCTGGTCAGCTTCCAGCACAAGCAAGCGAGCCAACATTGCGTCAAAGCAGGTAGTGTGGCGGTTGAAATACCATCCGTGTCATCGGCCGCCACGGAGACATTGAGATCATAGAGGTCAGTAGACCGGCACCTGCGCACCACCCCGCATTTCGAGGGAAAAAACAAAAAACAAAACAAAACCAAGAACTCAATACCATGTGAGAAAGCATGCTTGGTGGCACTTCCAGCTAATCATAAACCGGCAACTCTTTACAGCAAGCTACACGGGCCAAAGAAACTGCACAAACGCACGAAGGGCAGAAGCGGGTATCGCTGCTCATGGTTTGTACTTCCGCCGCTTCCAACACATGTCCACAGGCCATGCATTTGATGCGCACGATAGCCCCCGAGTGAAAGCCGTTGACCTGCAAACCAAAGAGTAAGGGTTAGCCGCGCAAGTTTGGCAAGTTGCTGAGAGCATGCTTTGCCTTGTTCATAACGGCACTGAACTCTTGATGGGTTCAGCAACAGCGTTTCCATGGCCCAGTGCAGGTCAAACCTCATTGGCCGCAATCACACGTTGCAAAACGGTCTGAAAGCGTTCAAATTGAGCCACGCCGTCGTCTTCGGCTTGGTTGGCACAAAACTTGATGAAGGTTTGCTTGCCGATCGGGTCCACAAACTGCAGTGTCAAGATTTGTCGTTGGTCGCATTCGCAGCTCGCCAGGAGGGTCAAATCAAACCGCTCCAACTCGGTGCCGCTGTCATCCCATGTCACCATAACCTCTTGACCCAGCACCTATGCTCAAAGGAAAGCAATCAATAAAAACGCAAAAAATGAAGGTTGTCGATGAGTAAGCCACGCTTGATCCCAAATCACAAGCTGCCAGGGTGTGTGCACAATGAAACACACAGAACTCCTACTTACCTCCACCATGCGGGGCAGATAATCAGCGAGTTTGGTCACCTGAACGACCTCAAAATCGTAGCTGGCTGCATAGTCGCGGACGACGGCACGGGGTGGAGGGACTTGTGTGTCAGTGGCTACGGCGGGCAACACGGCTGCTTCGTCAGCCGAGTGATCGGGATACATGCTTGCGGGCGAAGCCTGGACGGGTGTCGTCGCAGGATCAGTGGGAGCAGACGACTCAGACTTGAGGTAGTTTTGAATCAGGTCGTCGACGGGTCGGACAGGCGTATTCTCCTCTGCACGAGGTGTCCGAGGTTCATCCTCGTCCTCGACGTGGGTTCCAGCCAGGAGACTGTCGCGTGACGCAGAGTTGGTCTCGTCATCGCTGACCACGTCCGCCGATATAGAGACCTTGGATGATGGTCGCCGTGAGCGATTGCCTTTTTTGCGACGGCGATTGGCATCTCTCGACTTTTTCACCTTGAGCACACGCGGGGCTTCCATGGGAGCGTTGACTACCCCTTCAATGTCGGCACCACGCGATCCGGCCGAGTCATGTGAGTCCTGATGATGCAGAGTGTTTGGAGCAAACGCCGTTTGGGGCGTGCTCTCCGCGTTCGCAGGCTGCACATGCGTCATATTTGCTTCAAGAGGTTCTTGACTGTGGTCAGCATGTGGCCACGGTTGCTCATTGTTGGGGCGAGGAATGGCTGTCGCGTCAAGATCGTGCGGATTATACCCTTGCTCTGAAATCTGACTGGCTCGGCGGTCTGCCTTCTCCGCTGAGTTTCCAACAAGCAGAGTGTGCTCCACGTCAGGGTCATCGACCTGGTCGTAAGAAGGGTGCGGGTCGTTGCTCGTGCGACGCACTCGTGGCCCCACACGTCGCGGTGTGGACGAAAGCCCTTCAGCCATGTTGGTCATGGTTGCGGCGGGGTCCAAAGTTGAGCTGGCTAGGCTGGCTGTGTCCGACGTTCCAGCATCAGCCAGCACTATAAGCATTTCAAAACGTGCGCCGTGAGTTCCCGATGACCGGCTCACAGACGGTGTCAAGAGTGCACAACGCATAGACGCCAAGTGAGTGGAGTCGCCCACCAAAACGTACCGTCTTGTTCCGCAAAGGAAATCTCGTCGGTCCACGATGGCTGTACGGTAGGCATCTGGCGAGGACTTGTACGGGAGGGGGGCGATTTAACACCTTCTTTGATTGAACGATTCGAGTGATCCTGGTCCCTTGGTGCGGTGGCTTCACCCTTTTCGGCCTCGTCGTCCGAATCCTGGGAGTCCGATCCTTCCGATTCCTCGTCGCTGTTGCCACTAAAAGCGCTGGCAGAACGCGCAGAGGCGCTGTCGGCCTGCAGGTCACGGCTTGATTGAAACACATCTTCACGCTCCACAGAGGACAAACTTGCCCCTGTCTCAGCCAACGGGTTGCTACGTAGGACCGCTCTGCATGCGTAAAAATCAGGTGTCGAAGTGAGGACCAACGCATCATCGCAAAAAAAAAAAAAAAAAAAAAAAAAAAAAAAAAAAAAAAAAAAAAAAAAAAAAAAAAAGGAGCGGGAGAACGAGCCGACAGGCGGTCAGGTGAGCAAAAGCTGGGGAAGGTGGACAGATCATTCATTCATACTTGCGGGTGCTGCGCGGTGATCCAGTCTTGCTACCTGCAAGAGTGAGTGGCAGGCAAAGAGAAAGAACAAGGTTTGAGGCAAAGGGGTGATGATGAGAGTGGACAACGTCTTGGCCACAACCGAAAGGCTCCTCAGCCTGGCCGCTGCAGCAACACCAAATGCGTTTGCCGAACCTTTCTTCTTCTTGGTCTTGAGCTTGACGGTGACAATTTCGGGGCCTTGCGCAGTAATGCGGGCCTCCTCCTGCATCATGCTTTCATGCTGCTGGTCGTAGTAGGCAATCTTCTGAGCCACCTCACGATCCTACAGAGATGACGTATGAGTGAAAGCCATTGAGAGGGCCTTGTTGGGACAGGCGTAGAGCCCAAATAAGTTGCGCAAGCAGATTCTGACCTCCCCTGCAGGCCGACCATTGAGCATGACACGGCTCCAATTGCTGCCAAATAGAGCCAGGATACGCTCTCTAGCGTCGGTCGTTTGCATCACGGGACAATTTTCCAAGTTGACATCGCGCAGGGCTGGGGCTAGTTGGCGCAAGACACGGACGCTGGCAATGGAGTTGAGCGGATTGCTGCTTGCATCCAAAAGGGTCAGAAACCTAAAAGAGCGGCAGCCGTTGAAATGCGCCGATTGCCATCAGTGTGGAAGGGACCAAGCACAACAGGATCGGGCTCCAAGGGGGGGAAGGCAACGTTGCCTGTGGCGTACATGAGGTGCTCGATGCCGTTGAGGGAGGTCAGGCGATTGCCGGCAACGCTGAGGCTGGTCAAACGCTGCAAGGCTATGGTGCCAAGAGATTGGTCAGGCCGTGGATGGGTAAGAGAGAATGAATAGGACAGGAGGATGGTATCAGCGGGACACAGATGGCTGCCCAAGGCTTGTGTGGTGGATCGTTGGACACGCACTCACCTTCTGATATTTCGACGCGCTCCAGGATTCTCAAAGAGGAGATACGATTGAAAGCCAAGCCCAAGGTGTGTAGGTTTCCAAGGTACTTGAGGTGCGGGGTGAGCTCCTCCAGATCATTGGCCCCGAGGTTGAGCATCATCAGCTGTTGGCAATGCGAAACCCCATCATCAGCTTCGCTCAGCGTTGAAAACTTGCTTTGCCCGGTTTGGGGCTTCAACGCGACGCGGAGATACTGACTTTGGGGCAGAGGGCTAAGCGTCCGTCAAGACTATCAATGCCGTTGGCATACACGTCGAGCTCGCGCAGCTCATCCCAGGTCACGACATCATGTCGCGCATCACTCTGTGGCAGCCAGAGGTGCAGCGTGATGGCCAGGTTTTAAGGGGGATGGAGGGCGCGAAGCAAGCGCAATGATTGAGTGCGTAGTGCGTGCGTGGTGTACCTGTGAGGGCGGCTGGAGAATATCAGCAAGTTGACTCTTGCACTGCCGACAGGTCAACTGGGCCAAGCGAGGCATCTGAATGGCGGCCGGGTCGGGGGCATGAGATAGCGACACGCCACGTGTTGTTGCGTGCCAAGCAGAACGATTGAATCGGGGCCGGATGTACTGACGAGGTGAGCCAGGCCAATGAGTTTGCGGGCGTGGATGTGTGATACGTGAAGGCTGCGCAGGTCGGCAAAGACGCTCAAGTCGAACGTGGCGCTCGGGGGGAGACGCTCCAAGTAGGAGCCAATGAATTTCAGCGAGGTCACGGCACTCAAGTGAGTCCAAAGCTGTCGAATGTGCGTACGCACGGCTTCGCTTCCAGCTAAGATGCGCTGGACTATTGGCGCCACTTGCTGCGCTACCTGCGTGCCTGCGCGCGAGGACGCGGGGGAGTGGCGGGAATCAGACTTGTGGTCAGATTGCTGCTGTTAAACGCGAATCTGGGTTTGCCAACTGCACGCAGTCGCCGGATAACGTACTAGGAGCGGCCTCTGCCCCCAGGATTAGAAGCTGATACCAAAGGGGCTCAAGGATGAGCGTGCCATGCTCATCCACGAGAGCTCGCGCTGCAGAACCAGAGCCCAAACCAAAACCAGGCAGTCAGTACACATCGCTGGCAGGTATGGTGGTGCGCTGGGGGAGACAAATGGACATACCATCTTGGAGAGTGACGGCGTAGATGGCATCGGGACTCGGGTCCCCGGCCAAGGCAAGGGTGGGACGAACTTGGAGGGGCATATCGACGACGTTGGCCCATGCGCCCGTCCAGGGCTCCTGAGTCTGAGCGTTGGAGGTCGTTTGTCTGACCCTTTTAGTGTCCGAAATGTTGTGATGGCTGGCAGTGAGCCTGGTGAGCAGGCACTCGTCGTTGAGCCAGCCAGACCTAAAGCTGCAAATGCAATTGCACTCCACTCCACCCCAACAGCCACAGAACGGCCTGCCACAGAGGTCTGCCGCAGGGGTCGCGCGGGCGCGCAGCCGTGACACACTGCACTTGGAAAGCTTTGATGGCGGTGTTGGAGGATGATTTTCCCGCCAAAAACAAGTAAAATGATGACAAATCAACAGATGGACGATGGTTTATGACTTTTGGACGATATAAACGTTGTCATAGTGGTAGTTTGTGCAGCGAAGAGGAGACTTTGTGCAGAGCGCGTGAGAGGCAGTTTTTTGGCGCTTCTTCTTGGGCGCGCAAACGGGTGATTTGGCATCTTCATGGCGCGTTCGGCAGCGCAGTTTTGGCAGACGGCTGGCCGAATTGCGGCCGTCTCCTTTGGGTTTGGTGCTGCCATTGAGTTTTTCATGTGTCGGGTAATGATCGGCCAGGAAACCTTCTGTAAGCTCCGCTGGCCTGGCTCTGTGCTTGCTTCGTATTGCTGGAGCAAGCAGGCTGCTGTCGCAGTTGTTGGCCACTTGCTCATCAAGTCGTACGGACTGTCATGGGTGGCTGGTAGATGATACTGTGACTCGTCTGGAGGCCGAACGTCGTCAGCAACAGATTCTTGAGCAAGGCGCACTGCCGTCTGAAGCTGAAAGTGGGGCTGTGCCTATCAAGCCTTGAGTCGACTGCACCTACCAGTGCGCTTAGCACCATGGCCGGCCGTTGGTCTCCGAGCCAGCGCACCGCGCTCTATGCCATCAGCATTGGCGCCATGTTGGCTGGCGGCAGTGTCGTGCATTACTTCGAGCAACCAGACTTGGTACGTGTTCGTCTTTGGTCTCGCAGGCGAGCCGCCGTGCCCTGTCCCTTTTTCACCATTGTCGCTTCATGGCTCGCTGCAGACCATTCCAAACAATACCGACAAGCCGGCATCCCCGCTGGAGGGCCCGCGCATTGCACTGGTGGCGCCCCGGGGACACCGCTCGACCGAAGGCAACACCGAGGCCTCGGATGCCGCACCCCCGCGCACATAGCGCTTGACTTGTACCCACAGCATGACCTCGTCAATTTAGCAAAGAAAACCGCAGTCGATGTTGGTGCTTGCTTTTCTTTTACGTCAGGGAGCCATCAGTTCTATCCTGATTATGAAGCGAGCCATGTCATGCCACAGAAGCATCGAGTTGTGTCGTGAGCTGGGTCGAGGGGCAGGCCACCGAGTTGGCGCGAAGTTTCAAGAAAGACCCCTGCAACGATGTCAGATGATTGACTCCCCCCTCTTTCTTTGACTTTTTTTGACTTTGGCTCTGAACAACTGCCTTTGGCAACTGGTGTTTACAACAGTCCCTCTTTTTGAGCTCAAACATTTCTCTCAGGGGTCGTGTGTGCGGAGAGGGAAGGCGACGATGGCAGACGTTGATGAGTTTGGACGGCGGCGGGACCGGGGTGAGTCCCGTCGCCACGATGAGTATGACGAGGATGATCGGAGGAGGAGCAGTCGTCGCGAACGGGATGACCGCAGCCGCGACCGAGACAGCGGGCGGCGCGACCGAGATAGGGACTATGGTCGGGACCGGGACCGGGACGACCGCAGCAGCCGAGGCGACCGCCGCGACCGCGACGACGACCGAGACGACCGGCGGTCTCGACGCCGCGATGACAGCGATGACGAAGACCGGTACCGTCATCAGCGACGCGAGGAGCGAGAGGCCGAGAAACAGCGGCGTCGCGAGGCCAAGGAGCGGGCCAAGCTGTATGAGACTCCCGAGGAGAAGCGGGCTCGCCGCCTGGCCAAGAAGGAGGCCAAGTCGCGCAAGCGCCGTGAGGGTACCATTGTCGTCGAACATCGCGATGACGACGCCAGTGGTAAATTTGTGTGGAAGAAGAAAATCGACGAGGCTCTCACGCAGGGTCTTACGCGCGAGGAGCTGTATCACCAAGAGTTGGAGCGCGTGCGCGAGAACAAGCGTGAGCTCGAGGAGGTCAAGAAGCGCCGCGAGGAGCGTGAAATTGAACAAAATCAGATGCAAAAGGAGCGAGACATGCAGATTCGTGATGCCGATGCCGCTCAGTTTCAAGACTGGATTGAGAACGAGGACAACTTCCAGCTCGAACAAGCCCGCCTGCGCTCCGAAATTCGCCTGCGCGAAGGCCGCGCCAAGCCCATTGATCTGCTGGCACGCTACATGCGCATGGCCGAGGATGAAGTCGCGTTTGAGATGCGAGAGCCTTATCACGTCCTTGACATGCTGACCCTTGAGGATACTGAAGACTTGGAGGCCGACATCCAGGTCTACCTCAAACTTGATCGTGCACCAGCGGCGACTGAATTTTGGCAGGACATGCTCACGGTCACCAACCACGCACTGGTGGAGCATCGTCGCCTTGCAGCCCTACGCAAGCCCGACTTGACGCCTGCCGAGGCGCGGGCGCTCGAATCAAACATTAACCAACGTGTCAAGGCCGACATTGTGACCCTCTTTGCCAAGAAGACGCACGCCCAGCTGCAGGATCTGCGCGCCAAGATTCAGCGCAAATTGGATAGCCCAGATACCCTGGATGTGGGCTATTGGGACTCGTTGCTCAAGGAGCTGCGAGTGGAGATGGCCCGTGCGCGTTTGCGCGAAAAGCACCAGCAGTTCCTGCAGGAGAAGCTGGCACGGTTGCGCCAGCAACAGCAGCAGCAGCAAGAGCAGCAAATGGCTGCGGCCGCCGCGGCCGCCAACGGTGGTGCGCCCGGTGACGAGGGCCGCAGTGGTAGCCCCGCGCCGGCAGACATTCCCTCGGATGAACTGGACATGGCCGATGTCATTACGCAGGATCAACTCGATGCCCAGCTGGCCTTTATGCGGCGAGCGGTGCGTTTACGTTGCACTTGCGTGCAACGTGCATTCGAGTGCTGCTGCTTTGTTTCATTTTTATTCTTTTCTTGATTTTATGTACTGTGCCCTTGTCTCTGTGATTTTGCATATTTTTACCTTTGTCCTACCTGCGCTTCATGTCCATCTACGTGCCCCCGCCCCCGTGTCTGTAATCCTTGGATGCATATCCCTGCGCCTAGTTCAGCTCAAGCGTTTTGTTCTTGTTTGCACCACGTAGGTGGCCAACATGGTCAAGGAGGGTCGCAAGACGGAGCTGCATGCCGATTATGCATGGTCCCAGACGGGCGGCATGTCGGAACGTGATCGCCAGTTCTTTGCCAAGGCCCGGGCCAACCGGGAAGGCGTGGAAGAAGAGGATGAGGAGCACGAGGAGCAGACCGAATTCAACTCGGAGGAGGTTGGCTATGGCGACAAGCAGTCCTACTCATGGAGTAACCGTTACCGTGCGCTCAAGCCGCGCTTCTTCAATCGTGTCTTTACGGGCTACGACTGGAACGCGTACAATCGCACCCATTACGATCACGATAACCCTCCGCCCAAAACGGTGCAAGGTACGTTCCCATGATTCCTGTCTTGATTTCTGCCTTTCCTTGACCAACTTGAGCCTCCACCAAAGGATGGCGTTGATCGGGCTGTCACGCAACGACGACTGGTGGCTGTCTGCTCACGGCACTGCTCATGCTGCATGGTAGGCTACAAGTTTAACATCTTCTACCCCGATTTGGTGGACCCAACGCACACCCCGACATACAAGATCAAGCCTCTCAAAAACGAACCGGGCTTTGCCCTCATCGTCTTCACCTCTGGCCCACCCTACCAGGACATTGCCTTTAAGATTGTGGACAAGCGATGGGCCATGGGGCGCTTCAGCGGCTACCGGTGCGTTGTCGAAGTTGAATGACCAGCGGTGTTCACTTCACGACTGGCTGTGGTGTCTGTTTCGCCTTCCCTTCTCATGTCTTTTTGGTTTGGCCTTGTTGGCTTGCGTTTGCAGGTGCCGATTCACGCCCAACAACATTTTCGAGCTGTATTTCCGATTCAAGAAGGAGCGTTATCGCCGCTAAGGTCCTGGTGGTGGGCATGCCATCAGGAATCACAAAGCAAACCCTTTTTTTTTTTTTTTACCCTCTTTTTTCTTACAAAAAAGAATGACAATTGTTAAACAAATCTGACAAGTGGTAGCAGAGGCCAACACCACAACAGTAAGCGGATAAGAAACACGTTTGGCTAGCGTGTTGATTTTGTCCTGGTCAAGAACCCCTACCGCTGACTGGGGGGTAACTATGTTGATGAAAGCTACAAATTGACCCCGTGGCCAGTGGTATTGTATGTTGGTCTTGTGTTGTGGATCCGCCCCCTTGGGGTGTGCAATCAAGTGTGGGAAACCCAAGGGGAACTCTACCTTGGAAAGCATGGCAAGTGTGATGGCTTATACTTGAGCAGCAAAACTTGGAGCCGAGGACGCTTTGGGTGGCCTGAATGGCAGCGCCCAACGGGGCCACACGAAACGATAGGGCCAAACCATGACAAGCCTAGAGAGCAGCCCAAGTCCGGGCATCTCAACACCCATTGCTGGCCTGAAGAAAGAGGCATGCCCGCCGTCGAGCAGATGATTGGGCCGGAGCTTCGCACATTAGCACATTAGGTGTTCACGGAGAACAAAAGAAACAACACTGTGACTTTAACCATCACATTTTCTCTGATTTTGCCATGGTCCCAGACAAATTCTCTGCTTTGCCTTGGTTTTTAAAGGTGTTGGCTCTTGGGTTTGTGGCGTACGTCTGACAGGTCGCGCGGCCAAGTTTTTTCTCTGGGCTTCTTTTGTCTTCTCCCCGTCCGCCCACTTGAAAAACGCCCACCACTCCCTTCAGATCCATTCTCCCCAGTCTCTGTCCATCACACAAGTAGCCTCACTTTCTCTGAATTTACATTGCATTCTACCTTATTGAAACCACCGTGCCTGTCACCATCTCTGACCCAAGTCTTCAATTCTTAACCTTCTCTCCCTTTGTTATATGCGTCCCTCTCTCTCTCACACACACACTCTCTCACTCTCTCTCTGAGCGCGCGCCCGAGACCTCGCTCCGCCTCGCGCGCCTTCACGTCGTCGCTCCGCTGCTCTCCGTGGACTCGTGTGTGTGTGTGTGTGTGTGTGTGTGTGTGTGTGTGTGTTTGTGCGTGTGTGCCTGTCTTCATCTCGGGCCCATTCAAACACACTAGTCCTCCCGTGTGTCCTCATTGAATAGCAAGCGGAGGCACGTAACGAGTGCCGTCTCTCTCCAGTCGTCGTCGTGCCAGGTTGCCAGCGACGTGACGGGCAGACGACCTTTTGGTCCCAACGATCCCTTGCGACCTTTGTGCTTGAGGGGTAAGTGACCCAGTCGGAACACATGCGCTCCATCTGCTGCTGAAGAGTGTGTCTTGTGCGTGTCATCTTCAACGTGAAACACACGCCACTGCACGGTTTCGCCCACCGCCGTTTTTTTTTTTTCTTCTCTTCGTGATGATTCCAACTCGACACCAATGTGGTGCCTGTGACTCTCCGAAACCCCGTCCCTCCCTGACTTGACTGCACCACGCTGGCAGAAGCTTGGCCAGTTTGTTCAGCCTGTGAATGCTTTGGCTTAAACCCGCTTGGCACAGAATTCACACCCTGCCCTTTGTCAGAAAGCCCCCTTTGTGGTCCCCGCCCCCTTCTCTCCGCATTTCTTCACATGTGAAGCACATTCCCTTTGCTCCTTTGCTCGTCCAAACACTCTTTCACTGTTCGTATGTTCTTCCGTCCCTGTCGAGCAAGTTACAAGATCTCTCACTCCGCCCGGCTTCGTTGTCTTTTTCTCCGGCAGGGCTTTGCTTGTCTTTTGACGAAAATTTCTCTATCCCTTGAGGTGCACGAGCTCTTCTTGTCGGGTTTGCGAGTGTGCGGCTATCTTCAGAGTGGCCTCTTCCTTGCCGTCGTGCCTATCCTGCCACTTTCTGGCACCTGAGTGGCGTGTCGTCTTGATCAGACGCAACACGCAAATACTTTGTCGGCTTTCTTGGTTGCCCCTGTCCCCTCAACTTTGGGTACGAAGCGAAGCCAAACCGCGTAGAAAGTTGTCCAGACGTTTGGGACCTTGCAACTCTCATTTCAGCCAAAAATCATTTTGCTCTGCTTTGCTTTCCTTCAGACGCCCTTGTGGCTAGCACATGACCTGCTAGCATGGGTTGCGCCAACAGCCGTCCTGCTTCGCAGGAAGCAGTAAGTATTCGCACTGATGAACTGCAATTATGTTTTTTTTTTTTTTTTTTTTTTTTTTTTTTACAAAAATCTGACACTGGATATCGGCCTTGGGCTCATTCGCCTACTGTACGTGGTAATTTGTGCATCGCAAAGGAACCTTCGGTTAATAAATCCATGTCGCAGTCGGCACCCTCCATTACCAGCGCTCCGTAAGTGCCATCTTTCAGCATAAACGCAATCCAAAAGCCCTGCCTACCTCGCGCTTCATTCTTGAATGTGTGTGTGCACGACCCGTTTCTCATCCTCGTTGTCTGGCAGATTGCCTCCTGTGCCAGGGCAGGTGCCCCAAGATGACGACCCCAATCTTTTCATTGCTCTTTATGACTATGAAGCCCGTACCGCAGATGATTTGACCTTCCAAAAAGGTTCGTGTCCTTGTTTGCGTGTGTGTGCGCGCGCGGTTCAAGTGCCTTTTGAAACACCCAGCTACGCTCACCATTTGAATCGTTTGCTTGCTATAGGCGAAAAGCTCAAAATTACAAACAACAGTGATGGTGACTGGTGGCAGGCCACAAGCCTCATCACCGGCAAGTCTGGCTACATTCCTTCCAACTTTGTTGCTGCTGTGCAGAGCATTGAGTCAGAAGATTGGTACCACGGTCGCATCAAGCGGGCGGAGGCCGAAAAGGTCCTTATGCTCACGGGCGTCGAGGGCAGTTTCCTGATTCGTGAGTCAGAGTCAAAGCCGGGCCAGTACGCCCTCTCCATCCGCACCGGTGATATTGTCAAGCACTACTCGATCCGCACCCTGGATGAGGGTGGCTACTACATTACTTCCCGCGTTACCTTCCGCACTTTGCAAGAGCTCGTATCCCACTACCGCGAGAGCGCCGATGGTCTGACCTGCAAGCTCCGTGAGCCCTGCCGGCCCATCTCACAGCCCGAGACCGTTGGTCTTGACGTGCACACCAAGGATCAGGTAGGCTGTTGATTCCAAACGCTATCCAACACGACCAAGTGTTTGCCTTCTCGCGGCCATGGTCAAGGTCTGTTAATTGTGAACAGTTCTTTTGCTCACTCTTCCGTCTGCCCCATGTGCCCGTAGTGGGAGATTCCTCGCAAGTCAATCGAACTCAAGTCCAAGCTTGGCTCCGGCCAGTTTGGTGATGTCTGGCGTGGCGTGTGGAACAAGACCACCGAGGTGGCTGTCAAAACTCTCAAGCCGGGATCTATGTCGGCTGAAGAGTTTCTCAAGGAGGCCGGTGTCATGAAGCGGTTACGGCACCCCAAGCTAATTCAGCTGTACGCCGTCTGTACGGACAAGGAGCCCATTTACATTGTCACCGAGCTGGTATGTGCCCAAGTTTCTTTCTCCCATGTTCCTGTTTTTTCTTTTCTCGTTGCCCATTGTCAGGGATGTTTTCCCTTGTCCTAACCAGACACACAAAGAAGCGGGTTTAGAGATTTTACGTCGATTCCTTGTGCAACCACGACCACGGTCCGCCTCTCACAGTTTTTGCTCACGTATTTGCTTTTTGTGTTTGCTTTTTGTGTTTGCTGTTTGTAGATGAAGAACGGTAGTCTGCTGGACTACCTTCATGACAAGGGGCGTGCCCTCAATTTGCCTCAACTTGTGGACATGGCCGCTCAGGTCGCCTCTGGTATGGCCTATCTTGAGGCCCAAAACTTTGTCCACCGTGATTTGGCTGCCCGTAATGTGTTGGTTGGCGACAACAATACTTGCAAAGTTGGCGACTTCGGCCTTTCGCGTGTCCTTGGTCAAGAAAGCGAGTACACGGCCCGTGAGGGTGCCAAGTTCCCCATCAAGTGGACGGCTCCTGAAGCTGCTCTGATGAACCGCTTCAGCATCAAGTCAGACGTCTGGGCCTTTGGCATCCTTTTGACCGAGCTTGTCACTTACGGTCGCATTCCTTACCCAGGCATGACCAACGCCGAAGTTTTGCAACAGGTCAGCCCTCCTACCTGCCCCATGTGCCTGTGTCTTGGTTTTGGCGTCTTAACGTCCGGCTCTTGAGCATATGCACTCGCGCAGTCCGTCGCCTCTGCCCGCCTCATCTCACGTGTGGGATCTTGTTGTCTTAGGTTGAGCGTGGTTACCGCATGCCCGCACCCACCAACTGCCCCCCAGAGCTTTACAACATCATGCTCGATTGCTGGAAGTTCAAGCCCGACGAGCGACCAACCTTTGAAACGCTCCAGTATCGCCTCGAAGACTTCTTTGTGAACGAAGGCAGCAGCTACAACAATCCCGACCAGATGTAAACCACCAACTGTTGGTGTCATTCAAACATCTTTCACTGGTGCTGTGCTGTTCGACTTTCTAGTTTTGCCATCTGCCCCTATTCCAGCTTTCTATTCCAGCTTTGCTTACATTTTGGGTTTCAGCACTCTTTTACCATGCCGCCTCCTTTTCTTTTTTGCTTTTCATTGCGAGGACTTGCACCCGTCTGCCCTGCACAAACAAGCATCAATTTTTGGTGCCTCTCGTTGTCTGTTGCGTTTTCGGTGCTGCAATCTATTGTTTGAGTTTCTCTCGTTCCTTTGCTTCTTTGCTTCGTGCCTGGCTTTAAATTTACTACCACCACATCTGCGCTCCTGTCAAGCCATTGCAATTTCACAGCGAGGGTCAGGCAAGCTTAAACTTCTTCCACTGAGACAGGGGCACCATTGGCTTGGTATGCGCTGCGCATGCAAGCGTCAATGACTGATTGCGTACGCAAAGACAACATTTGCCAGTATGCGGTGGACCGAGGGTCCTGCGTGCTGACGGCTGGCTCGTCGCCATTGGTGCGTGCAAGCACCATTTTGCCAAACGTGTTCCACATCTCCACCTCCTGAGTGCATTCCTCGGACACGACTTCCCGAGTATCAGCGGTCAGCGCTGGAAGGCTGCCAGTAAAGTTTTCCTTCGTCGACACCACAAACTTGGTCGTTGGGGTCTGAGCAATCACAAAGTCGTCAACCATGATGTGTCCCTGTGCGAGGGCAGCAGCAAGCAAATGATGCACACAACAGAGGCAATCAAAATTGTCAGTTTCTTTGGAGTTGTACGATGCTGCAAGATGCAGTCGAAGATTGATTGGCGTTTAGAAAATGGCTCAGATGCTTCATGGGTTGACCGACCTGATTTCCTGTGAGAGTGGCTGCCTGCCGCAAGGGGCGGCAAAACGAGCAGTCGAAGGAGGCACGGCGCCCGTCGGCCCAAACCAACTACGTTTGATCAACGCCAGAGCACAACAGGCATGAGTTGAGCAGAGTTCAACATGGTCAACAAGTGTTTGCTCAACATGATCTACCTGAACGTCCATATCCAATGGGAGCGAGGTGCCATCGACGTTCTTGAATGCACGTGCAGCAGCGCTTTGTGGTAGCTCAAAATCGCACATGGCCAAGGAGAAGCGAATGTTGTCTAAAACAGTACGAGGAGTCATGAGCACAAAGGTGCATGAGTCTGGCCTGTATACCATGGCCTGTATATCAAAATCTAGCAAAGAGTGCGTTCACGGCAAGTAACGGGAGAAACGTACACCAGCCCAAATCGCCGAGACAGCCCAGAGGCTCGGTCTCGGGATTGACGCGGATGTCCTGGCGATAGAAGTCATCCGTGCCCTGCACGTGTACACAATGACGTAAAAGTTTCCGCGTCAGTGGATAGATGTGCGACAAAGGTAATGCGAACAGCATCCGGTCACTCTCGCTGTGGGCGGGGTTCGCGTGACTTGCCATAAAGGTAAAGGTCGACTGGATGTGCAGAAGCTGGCCAATCTCACTTCGCGTGCTCAATAGCTGGGGCAGGCGCTTGTGGTGCATGAACATGACCTACAACAACGGAAAGGAGTATAAGAGCCAATCTCCTGTGTCTAGGATGTGGCTGCGCAACATACACCGTCCATCCAGATGACATTGCACTCATTGACAGCAGCAAGGGTTTCGCGCAGCTCGGCCAAGCTAAAGACGGATGGGCGGGCAACATCGTGAGAGCAGAGCACACTCAGACGATAAGACGTCAACCCAGGCGTGTGTATGTGAAGCAATGGGGCGGATTCAAGCGCTGCGACGCTGTCAGACGGGACCAACACACTTTCGGGCTGTCGGTTTTTCGCTGAGAATGTGCTTGCCTGCCCGCGCTGCCCGCGCGACCCACTCAACGCGAGCGGCCGTCGGCAATGGGATGTACACGGCTGTCACTTGTTCATCTTGAAGCAGCTCATCATACGATCCATAAGCCTGCGGAACGCCTGCATGTTCGACCGCCCACAGTGAGTGCGCCATGTGAATCGTCCGTTCTCATGACATACCCAGTGGCAGCTGCAACAATCGGCCAGTGACGTTCGCACCGTTCTTCTCCGCGTAGGCTTGAGCACGTTCAAGCGACCGCGAAGCTACTGCATAGATTTCCACACCACGACTCTGTTTCATAGCCGCAATGTTCTTCTCGGCAATGCCAGCCGTGCCCAGCACGCCAATCTTCACCGCTGCCATCTTATCCAGTTCCAAGTTTTGGAGTCCTTTCGGGCTCGAAAAAAAAAAAAAAAAATTGAGAGAGAGAGAGAGAGAGAGAGAGAGAGAGAGAGAGAGAGAGAGAGAGAGAGAGAGAGAGAGAGAGAGAGAGAGAGAGAGAGAGAGAGAGAGAGAGAGAGAGAGAGAGAGAGAGAGAGAGAGAGAGAGATGAATTGAGAGAGAGAGAGAAAAAGTCTCTCTCATGTTGATGTCAGCAAAATATGTCATACAATACACTTTTCAAGAACCGACTTTTCAACACAGGCGAAGCAAACAATGTCTATGGCCGCATGAGCTTTTAGTGCGGTTTTTGCCGAGGACGAGCGCTTCCCTGCTGAGTTTCGGCAGGCGTTGCCGTCAGCAACGTGTGAGATAAGTGCCAAACCATCTAGTTGGATGGTTTGTCAATCTCATGCGAGCTCAAGCTGCGCGCTTAAAGGCACTCCACAGCTTCCCTTAGTCGTGCCTTTGCATTTGGTATCATGTCGACTTTGTCTCGTGGCCAGGTTGCATGCATCGTGGTCTAAGTGACCCACATCTGAACTTTGAGCATGAACAGTTTTGCGAAATGATTCGAGTCGAATCTGGTCAGACGGATGTTTCCCAGCCCAGACGGCAAAACCCAGAGGATACCATTTGCTGTAGACCCTAAGCCTGTCTTTTAAAACCCTAAACCCTTTGAATTCCCACGAGGTTTCAGCAAGGAGCAAGGTCTTGAGTATGTCGATGAGGACTCTATGGGGTGAACTCGAACGGTGCAGTCGACTGCATAGTGTCATTATTATGCCGGTGTTCAGAATTTTAAATACATGCACCACCTACCTGACATATTATGATGACCCTTTCCCGAGATGACGACACGGTTAAGACTTGCTGATGTCGCATACTTTGCTCACATAATGAGCACAACGCCGTTTCAGATCGAAGTCAAACCATTTTGGTCAAGAGGGGTGCAGTTTCATGACTTGCTTTCATTTTTCATATTCGCCCGTCGCAACTTGCGAACTGTCCCTCCTTCCACGTATAATCCCTTGCCACTGTCTCATGCTCCTCTAGCGCTTGAATTCTCGGTAAATGCAAATCACGGGTGTGTAAATTGGATAAAAAAAAAAGAAAAGAAATAAAAAAATCAAGAAGATAATTGCACATCAAGAACAGAAGGCACCATCGGGTACCTTGTTGACATCATCCAGGCATATGGCCGAGCTACACTGCACAAGTACACAAACAATCACGCTCATGCATGCCAGCATGTCGGAGGCAAGCCAGCCACGTGCAAAGCAATATAAAAAAAAAAAGACTTATTCATCGGCACCATCGTCGTCCTCGAAGCCGGGTGCATCGTCAAAGCCGAACAGAGCGTCCTGGTTGTCCTCGCCATTTCCGGTACCCTCTACGTCGGTATACTCGCCAGCTTGGACGTTGTCATCAAACGCATCTGCATTCAAGTAGTCGGCGCCGTTGGTAGTGGGCTGATCGGCATAAAGTTGATCCTCGTCCAAATCGTCCTGCACGTTGTCGCTGCTGGAAAAGGCCAGCTGATCGTTTTCAACGTCGGCCCCCACATCAAGATAGCCGCTTTGAGGTTCTTCTTCGTCACTGTAGTACATGTCGGGACCCAGCATGTCGTCTGCCTCGGCAAAGACATTGCCGTTATCATGCACATCCTGGTACATGCCGTCCTCATCGTCGTCCTCTTGCTCGCCTTCGTCTCCGAAATCTCCCACGTCACCGTCTGCACAGATGAAACATAGCAAGCAAAAACCATGATGAGTCGATCAGCTCAACGCTTGGGGCCACACTGCAGGTAGATTGCAGACGTACACAGAGGATTGATGACACCCGTACGATAGTCGCTGGTTCCCTCCAAGTTCTAAGCACAATAGGCAAAGGCACAGATGAATGAGCGTAGATGGGAGGCTCAACAACAACAACAACAACAACAACAACAACAGCAACAGCAACAACAACAGCAACAGCAACCACCACCACCACCACCACAACAACAACAATATCAACAGAGAAAAAAAATTCCACCATCCAGCCACGTGCTGCCGAGCAGCATGTCAATCTTACCTTGGGAGTCTCGGGCACCTTGTTGCGCTGGCGCCGGCGACGAGCCAGCACCAAGACCACCAAGACCAACAAAACCACTACCAGACCACCAGCCGCACCGCCAATCACACCGGCACTGGCTCCGCTCGTTGAAGATGAAGAATCGCTGCTTGGTGGAGCGCCAGTGGACTTGGGGCCTGGTGGGGCTGGCGCTTGCTTGGTCGTCGGCCGGGGTGTAGTGGGCGCAGTCCAGGCCGTGCGTCGAATGATGGGGTCTGATGCCACCACAAAAGTGTAGCCTTCGAGGGACACCTCGACATGACGACGCGTCAGCTCCGTTTCCAGCAGAGACACGGCATCCACAGCCGACAATGGCATGCTTACAACACCTGCACGCGACCCAAGCACCGGGGTGAGGCAAGGCAGTGGCGCTCAAGGCATGCAACGCCCAATTCTTTCAAACAAAAAAAGATTCATTAATAAACAATGTCATCAACACGGGTACACGCTCATAGACACAGACACGGACACGCTCACAGACACAGACACAGACACAACCCTGCACGCCCGACACCACCCTCAACGTACCAGGGTCGCCAACCGTCGTCACGACCGTGTTCTGCTTCAGCGACTGCACCAGGGACGAGCTCAGGTTCAAGAGATCCGGGGTCGTGCCAAAGATCATCAGGTCGTTGGTGTCCTGCACCTGGACGTCCGTCAGCTCCGGAGACAGGGCTAGAATCTGATCCCGGGCCATGGCCGCCGTCGTGCCGTTGAGCGTGCTGTACGTGGCCATCAGCGTGTACAACTGCGCCTGCTCGGCCACACTGGCGTTGGTGGAAAAGGCCAACACCACCCGATACCCAGCGTTGCTGGCCCGGCGTCGGTCGTCATTGCTGCCGTCGCCCGAGCGCACTTGCACCGTAGTCTGCACCTTCACCGGAGCCGGCCCCTCCTCGCCAATGACGTTCACTACATGACACCACAACACAAACAGGCCACAGCCATTCATCAACATGAGGCACCGTCTCACACACAAAACACAAAAAAACACTCAAACATGATAGGCGGATCATGTATCATTCAGACCTTCCCCTCCTTCCCTCCTCCCCGGAGCAACATTCACACACGACTTACGCGCCCACTCTGCGGCTGCATCGGCCAAGTTGTCACCCAGACTCTCGTCCGACAAATCCACAATCGAGGCAATGCCTGCATACTCTGCCTCCAGCGCCGCCAGATCAGCCTCTCGGATGTGGGCGCTGGTGCGGTAGGTGCACTCGGCCGTGGTCGAGCCAATGTGGTCACAAACGTAAAAGACATCTCCGGGCACGGCTGCCTTGATCAGCTCGGCGTAGGCCACGGGAGTCATGGGCTCGGACGTCGAGCCAGCCGTCGTTGTTGGCGCAGCCGTTGCTTCGGTGCCTGACGTCGAGCCAGCCGTACTGGCAGCAGCAGCAGCAGTTGCTTCGGCGCCTGACGTTGAGCCAGCAGCAGTGGCAGTGGCAGTGGCAGTGGCAGTTGTGGCGGCCGTCATAGTGGAAGTGGATGTTCCTTCAAGCCGGGCGAGATCAAGGGCCACCGTAAACACAAACGGCCGGTCCGACTCGAGCAGGTTGCCCGTGCTTGACATGCTCAATTCCGACACACTCAACACGCCTGCTTCCGACGCCAGTGCCGTCAACATGGCCCCATGCACCACCTCAAAGGTTGTTACCACATATGTCTGGTTCTGGGCCAACCCCGTACCCGAGGTGGCCCCGGGCAACACCGTCGTACTCAGCAAACCTGTTGCCGCGTAAATGGCCCGGGTCACCGCAGCCAAATCCATGGTGCTGGCCGACACCACCACCTCAAACTGCTGCTTAAAGTAGAGATCGATCGAGCCAACCAGTGACATGGGCCCATCGGCCAGCGCCGCCTGCAGTGCCGGGGCGCCCAGCGCATCCAGCGTGTGGACGCGGTGCTGGCCCCCACCCAGAGCTACAACTCCCAACGGCATGATCCCCACGCTCAAGAGATCGGCCTCCACGTTGGCCGCCGTCTTCCAGCTTGAGGTGGTCACCACAAACGTGCTGCGGGGGTGAGCCCTGACCACGGGAGTGGCCTCGCGCACCATGGAGCGATCCACCGCGTAGTGGCACAGACCCGTGGCGCAACCCAGGACACCCACCTCGTCGTTGGCACCCAGCAGGTTCAGGGCCAGTGTTCGCTCGTTGCTCGAGAGCGCTGACGACAAAGCCACTCGCCATGCCGTCACAGGGCTTGCTCGGGTGGCCACGGCAGCCACACCCGACATGGCCGCCAGCTGCGCCAACGTCACGTCGGAAAAGTCCATCATGTCGACGCGGCACACCACCAGGCCCGTGTGGTGATCCCAGCAGCGTGGGTCCTCATAGGCTGCAATCTGCTGCCCATACAACAGCTGAGCCAAGGCCTCAGCACTGGTGAAGCTGGCCGCGTTCAGCACCATCAGGAAGCTGGCCGCCGTAGCCTTGTCTGCATCCGTGGCCGCCACGCTCAGCGTGGTATCAAACTCCAGCTCCAGATAGGCCTCGGTCGTGTTGGCCCCCGATGCCCGAGCAGGAGGCAAGACCTGCACCACCTGTGCCAACTGGGAGGCCCGGTTACCGCTGCTGTCCGTCATCACGGCCACCACGGCACGCGTCCCTTGCTTTCGCGCCACGGCGCGCAGGTCCCGGGGAAGCCAGCTCAGTTGAGCCAACCCCAATTCCCCATCCAGCAGGTCCACGGCCGTAACAGCCTCACTGGGTGGCAGGTATGTGCTGCCCTGGCGTACTCGGATCACGGGTACGCCGGCCACGCTGATCATGGGCGGCAGCGTGTCTTGTACCACCACCACCCGCGTCTTGTTGCTGACCACGTTGCAGGCGTCCGTGACGCTATACACCACGGCCGCCTCGCCCAGCTGGCGCGTATCCACGCCGTTGAGGCGCATTACCGAGGCCGTCAGGTCACCCGTGCAGTCGTCGGTGGCAGCCGCCACCCCGGGGTCCACCCAGTCAAAGGTGGCCTCGGTCGTCACCCGATCTCCGGCCACCAGTTGAATCACCGCCGGTGCCGTGTCGACCACTGTCAGCGAGCCGGACACGGCCACCTCGTTGCTGCAGTCGTCTGTGTAGGTAAAG